TGGCACGTTGTGACCCGTGATCTGGAAGAAGCCATTGTGCAGGCAGCAGTTTCGCACTTCGTCTACGAGCTGTTTCTTGGATGCTGGGTCGTGTTGGTAGAACTCTAGGCCTCGTAAGCAAGGTTTCGACTGCTAGGGCTGTTTAGCGGGTAAACGTACTTGAGAAGTCCAAGATGGGAGGCGCTTCACCGGCGTTTGGCATGGTGGGCTTTCTCGGTCAAGTTCAGTGGGGTATCAAGTTAGAGAGGGTGATTGAAGTGACCAAGTGGTTGGAATGTGATGATACCTAGGTACTTGATCGTGTTGGTGGTGGTTTCTGGGAAATTGCAGCGAGCTATCGAGACGCGTCGCCTTCAATTATACCACGTTTGATGTTTACTCTCGATTTGGCAATCATCGTTCCCCAGCATCACTTACCCCTCATGAACGCTGCGCTATCGATAACGGCGTCATGTTGTCGAAGATGGGGCAAGTGGGATTGCGAAGGCTTTCACCCCACTCTTGCTGTGAGCTTGTGATTGGCCACGCGACACATCATCTACGGGATGCATCATGCACAACAAGAGGCATTCTGCCAAGATCAGGATATGCTATTGAGTGCAGACTGCCAGATCGCACGTCTACAGGGCTTCTTCAACCACCACCATACTGTATCGCAGCCCTTAGTCATGCGAGTCGATAGCCCCGTCATCCTCGTCCCGCACATCGTCGAGCTCAAGGTCTTGTTGAGCCAACGTGTATATGCCTTCATCTCGGTCCTCAACGTTCATAGTTGTCTCGGCACCATCGCTCTCGTCACTCGCGTACGCTGTGGCAAGCCTCTGATCGTAATGCAGCTTCTGCCATTCATCGACAATAGACCTGGCTTCCTCTTTATCTCCATCATGACGAATGCCGTCTCGGAGCAGAGCAAACATTCTCCTCGCGATCATATACTCCGGTTCGTACGCGTATCTCTTCCACTCGACACTCACCGCTTCCTCCCACGAGCTGGCCAATCGCCGGTAATCAGCATCTTTTGGCTCATCTGCAGCTATCATCTCATCGTACTCGTGACCACCCGATACCCATAGCCAGAACGGCGCACGATAAGCGACGAACTTGGGGCAAAAGTGCGCGAACTGGGCATCCCAGTCCAGTAATCCGGTAAGCGAGAGCGATGAGTCGTGTTCAATCTCTACGAGCATGTTCCGCGGGTAGAGGTCGAGGTGACAGAAGTAAAACTTTTCTTCATCTGGGATAAAGCCCTTATCGTATAGCGTCTGTATGATGATATCGAAGCAGTACCATGGAGCAATGTCGCCGTCGTCAAGATCTTCCTCTAGTTTCTCCCATCGATACCTCTGGTGTATCAAGAACTGGCGTGTAGTCATAGCCTCAGCGGGGCGATCCGCGGGTCCTGAGAAAGCTGATACCGGGTCACGACTGGTGCCGAAGGCTTGAATTTCTGGTGTCACCTTATTGGGAGAATGTGGTAGTCTTGTTAGACTGGCAATGATACCTGCCTTGGATTGCTGAATAGTATGCAATTTCTCCATAACACGGACAACGATGTGCATAGTGTCTATCCTTTGGTTGATCGTAAGTTCAGGCCATATCAAGTTGAGATTTTGGCCGGGAAGATGGCTCTGTATGGTATACGTCCGTGACAAAGGATTACGCGGGTGCTCATCTAGATGTATGATGGGAGGTACGACAATGCCGAAATTGATGCGCGCGAACGTCAGAGTGGCCACATCATACCTCATGTCCAAGTCATCGCTTGAAGGCTCCCTTCGTGCGCTCCTGAGTATGTGGTACTCTGGCGTGTAAGCTTTGACGTAGTCTTCGTTACTGGTCAGGAATGAATGTATCCAAGGGATAGTAAAAGCGCGAGGAGGTAAAGGCGTGACAGTGATAGCTGTGATTCGATTGTAACCTCCACCGCGCAGACGTTCGATTCGCCAGGTTGCTCTGGGAAATAGAGTGGCGCAAAGTTCCGCGACTCTTTTACTGAAGAATTCGAAGGGCTCTTGACCATAGGCCACAGTAGATGTCTGAGATAGACTGGAGTCCTCCTCCTCTTCAAGATCCTCGTTACACTCTTCGTACGGAGCCTGGACGACGAGGTATCTTCGTATGTCCGTCACTTTGAACCTGGGATTGGGCATGGAAGCTGTAGGAGTTTGCGCGTCTGGGAACAGTGTCGGAAGGTGCGTGAGCAACTAGATTAGTGGTAAAACGCCCTTTGCAACCTACGAAGTTGAGTTTCGTGCGACACTGCGACTTTTCCAAGTAAATATTTGCAGGTGTTTGCAGGGTACGAGCGTTTGCACGTACCAGAAGATCCATAAGAAGCGGGCCGAAGAGCTCAGGCGCTTGACATAAGAGCGATCGAAGATTGAGGACATCATTTCAAAGAAGAATGCAATTCACGAACGCCAGAGAACAGGAAAGCTGATACAAGACAGAAAATTCTTGAACCCGCCGCCGTTGCCAGATGTCACCGGAATACCGTGACACGCGACGGTGCCGGATGTCAGGTGTGGGAAATCATCGTTGGCGTGTCTGCGCATAGTTCAACGAACTTGAGCACGCCGAGCAAGTGAATGACAAAAAGGGACAGCAATGCGACGCGATGAGTAGACTCAAAGGAATGCTGGGTGTTGAGATGCGAGAGATGACGGAATGTCTTCCGTCATGACGTCTTGTCTGATTGGCTGACGGAAGCTCCACCTTCCGTCGGCCGCCCCACCGTCGCATTAGTGTTGCTTGGTCATGCTCGACATAAGCAGCGCATTCTCCGCCAAGCCTCAGGTTAAGACGCGCCGGATTGTTAAACCTTTACCAACCAAGCAAGCTCACGATGGCACCCACACCAGACCGCCCCGAAGCCTCCCTCGAACATTCTCGTCACCCTAGTCGCGTTTTGCATAAAGCGCCCCCGCCCGACCCATGAAGACGCTTTCCTCCCTCTTCATCGCCATCATCGCAATTGCACTTGCCGTATACAACAACGAGTACATGCTCTCGAGACTTACACAATCACTGAGACACGTCACATCCCTCGCAAAGACCACCAAGCCCTTCTACAACGCCACCGAAGATATGTCGACCATGTTCCGCGGACTGCCCGTCATCCCCGACGAGAAGTTCACCACCGATGCGCCCCGCAAGATCGCAAAGTCTTTCCTTGCTGTCGAGCAATCCGAAGGCGCGGGAGCGAAAGTGAGGAGGAGTGTTGGCACCCCCAAACTGCGCAACTTCTCTCCCTTCCTCATGCTCGACCACTTTGCCATTCCACCCGGCGCAGGCTTCCCTGACCACCCACACCGCGGTACGTGATGAGCACGACGGAGTACTTAGGATCTACATACTGACTTTTTATTGCAGGCCAAGAAACCATCACATACCTCCTCTCCGGCGCCGTCGACCACGAAGACTTCGCCGGAAACAAGGGCACCATCGAGCAAGGCGACCTGCAATTCATGACTGCCGGTCGCGGCATTGTCCACGCCGAGATGCCGCGCCAAAACGAGGACGGCGCGCCCAACGTCGGAATGCAACTCTGGGTCGATCTGCCCAAAGAGCTGAAATCATGCGAGCCCCGCTACCGCGACCTACGAGCGAAGGAGATCCCCGAGACAACCGCGGAGGACGGCAAGGTGCACGTCAAAGTCATCAGCGGACAAGCGTACGGCACCGAGAGTCTGAAGGAACTGGCATACACACCCGTCTGGCTGCTCGACTTCACAGTCCAGCCCGGCGGCAAAGTCAAGCAGCCCCTGCCAAAGGGCTGGAACGCCTTCGCATACCTCCTCGACGGAACCACCATCTTCTCTTCCGACGGCGTATCGCGACCCATCGAACAATACCACAACGTTGTTTTCGAGAGCAACGGCGACAGCATCGAAGCATCCGTGGAGGAAGGTGCTGAGAAGCCATCGCGGTTCATTCTTGTCGCTGGTCTGCCGCTTGACCAGCCCATCGTACAGTACGGGCCTTTTGTGGTCACGTCAAGAGACGAGGTCATGCAGGCTATGATGGACTACCAGAGCCATTCGAATGGGTTTGAGAGGGCGAATAACTGGGAGAGTGAGATTGGAAAGAGTATGGTGCATTGAGCTGCTTAAATCTGGTAACGGTTTCCTTTTCACCTTCTTCTTCTGTATATACCAAATCACGATACCTTTATTCCTATTCACATTATTTTCTATTATGCCATTCGCCGTCTGATTCCCTTCTGTTCTCCAGACATTCATACTGCTGTCAGCTGCCCAGGAACAACACCACGCTGAGCCAACGTTGTCTCATGATATGTCTCGTGCGTTCTACGATTGTCTCGCTAGTTGTCTCACAGACCTACAAATATCCCACCAAATGCACGCTCCATCTGTTCCCTTCACAAGATCTAACAGACCTCCACCACAATCAATCTTTATCCAGGGCCGTCAGAATACAATTCAATGGCAGATTCATCCACCACTCAAGCTTCAACAAGCTCGACGCTATGTTCGATGTGTCCGCAGCCCGGCACGATAGTTTGCCCTGAGTGCGACTGTAGCCGATACTGTTCGGAAGCTTGTCAAGAGGATGACGGGCCAACTCACAAGCTTCTGTGCGAATCGTATGCTGACTTCCACCAGAGCTTGGCTCCCTCTTTAGAACACTTTCGCGCAATATTCTTCTCAGAGGACGGACCGGGGCCTGTCTTTGTATGGCTACGCATCGAAGACTGCAATCAGCCTGATCAGGCGATGATCGTCCACTGCAGCAGCGTGCCATTTCCACCACTGTCCCAGGTCCACGGATCGCCACAGTCAACAGGCGGTAACGACGAAAACCGGGTTCTCCAGCGTCCCCACGAACCAATCAGCCAAGTCGGATTTCTCGCTGCCGACACAAACGGTGAGATGAGATTCGCAGGGAGACCGACTGGTAGCGTTGGAAGCATTGATCCAGAGTTAGTGGGTGGCTACAAAGGGCCATTGCTATTCTGCGGTATGCGATACCACCTCGACATGATATCCTTCCGGCACATAGTCGACGATCTGCGCTCGTGTTGGTACGATACCAGGATCGATGCCGAGAGGCGGATACCAGGTCCCATAAAAGGCGTTCGTGTAAACTGTCTCGGCGACACTGTCATCAGCAAGCGACCAGAATACGAACCGATCAATACACTCCACCACACCTTCTTCGACACTGATCGCATCTTCAAGATCCCTGTAGGCGAGAAGATCGGTATCCCATTAGAGGTACACCTAATCGAGCCTGCTGTACCGTGGAGGAATCGTCGTCTTTATGGTGACACGATTATCCCCTTTTCACTCAATTTCGACGCGCGGGTACTCAACCCGGCGCAGTGGCGGATGATAACAGGCTCGATTATGATCATTCGCAGAGACCTCAAGCCGCTTCATTGCGCCCATATAGACGCACTGCGCGAGTACTGTGTCCGCGAAAGCTTCAGTGCCGCACAACTATCCGATCTGCCCGGAGGACCTCATGGCCCTAATCAAGACTTGACTCCATTTATCGACATCGTTCAGCAAGCAAGTTCACAGCAATTGCTGTCTCGTGCGTCGAAGCAGGGCTTTTCAGACTTCTACCTCAACTTCATGCATAACGGTGGACACGCGAAGTATGGATTTATTACTTCTCCTTACATAGTCTAGGGACCTGGGTTAGATAGCTAGATAGTGTAGGTATTGACTATGTTAGTCATGACGGATGATTGATGAGACATATGTGACTTTACAATCTACGAATCTGCAAGCTTCCTTTTCTACACGTGCGCATTGATCTAACTGTCTCTAACTGGACTCAAAGACTGACACACCCACTCGAGCTATCTTCCACAAAGATACCACCGTAGATTTGTCCTTCACCGCGGAGAGGAATGTGCTCTTGATACCCATCAAACACCACCGTCTCAGTCTCCGTAGGCTTCTTCGCAATACCAACCTGCAACTGCCCACCACCAGCATTGCTATTAGGCGTAGCCCTCGTAACCGCCTTCAACGGCTTATCACCCGCAGAGTAATAAACCTTGATCGTACTAATCACCTCGTCAGCGCCCTTATCCCCACCCAAACCTCATCGCACGAAAAAGAAAGAAGGCCACTTACTCCCCAACATAATCCAACTGCACCCCCAAATTCTGCCATTCCCCCCTCAATATCCTCGTCTGAAACACAAACTCATTCTTCGCATTCTGCACCTTCCACATCTCCCTCTCCTTTTTCGTATCTAGCCCTGTCCCGCCATCACCGACCAACACAACACCACCCACAAACATGAATTGGTTACCGCTGTAATCACCCTTCTCATGCCACACATTCATATACTCATGGCTCAGATTCAACGGCCTGTGCTCATCCTGCCGGATACTCCAATGGAATGTCACGACACCGTTATCCGATGCATCAGTCCCGGCGTCGTTAAGATCGTCTTTGAACAAGAGGCCTGCGCGGCGGAATCCCGTTTGCAGGTTTTCGCCTGCGCGGAAGAGGGAGCCGGAGTCGATTGTTACTTCGACTGGTTTGTGCAGGAGCGGGTTGTCGAAGCGCGATGGAGGTGTGGTCTTGGGAAAGAGGAGGATTGAGGACCAGGTGCGGTTTTCGCCTTTTACGTAGTCGGGGTTGTAGGGTGTGCCGCCGGTGGCTGTGTCGAAGGATTGGAGGGTTAGGTTTTTGGTGATGCGGCCGTCGAAGATTAGAGGGCATTTGATGTTAGTTTTTGGGGCGTGAGTGTGGGGGTGGAGAGGTGGAAGAGGTGGCGCGGGTGCGGGTGCGGGTGCGGGTGCATGTGAAAGTGGAGGCGGAGGTGCAGGTGAGAGTAATGGGGTTGCGAGGGCAAGGCCCAGGAAGGGGAGGAGGTGGAGAAGCTGCATGTTAGACTGAGAATTCTAAGACACTGCCGATGCTCACGATGCACATTAGTATATTTTATAGGCATCAAGTCAGCGTTGCGCTAGTGAGCCCTATGCATATTGGCTAATTAAGTAGAGCGGCAGAACACTATGGGCGAAGTTCTAGTGCAGCCACATTTTACCGGAACACCATTCGCACCAGGCCGACGGACCTGGACGCCGGATTCTTTCGCATCCTGCAACAAAAAACATCCTACTTGTGAAATACACTGGTTCTGCTTCTAGACGCGATCTGGAAGCTTCGTGACGCGATGTATGCATTCGCGCACTAGGCCGCATACGGTGAAGGGACATCCCCATACTTCCATCGCCCTTCTTCTTCCATCCACTTCGTCCAAAACCGCTCGAAACCCACTCTAGAAGCCTTTTCAAGTAACACGTCATTGTGCATCTCGAAAGCCTCGTCGAACTTGGAGGCTAGGTTCCACGGCTCCTTGCTGTCTAGAATCCTTTGAACTTGCCCACTACCGATGGAGTATAGATATGCCATCAGAGCCGCAATGTGAGTCACAAACAATGGCTTCTTGTCTTTCCTCGCGACACACAGACTACCCAGGCTGGCTGACCACTCAGAAGGGTTGAGTTGAGCGAAGCCGAAATTCCAAGCATGGTTCAAGCCTTTATAACCGCCGCTCCGATTTCTCCATGGCAGCGCTGGGGGTAAAGTGCGAGCGAAAAGATCGATACCGAGTTTGGACGCGATCCACATGAGGAGGCTCTCGTCCTTTTCGTAGAAGCCGTCGGTGACTTTGCAAGTCTCGAGTGATGGACGATCACTGATCAGCTGATCACCGATGCAGTTGATGCGCACACCAGGGATGTAGCCTTTTCTTTTGTCTCCAAGTTGGCGGAGTGATTTGTCGTACTCCATATACATCATGTCAATGATATGCCGGAAACTGGTCATGTCGAGATGTGCGCGGTGGCCGATGAAGAGTATGTTGCCTTTGCAGCATCCTAGCAGCTCGGGTGCGATGTTTCCCATGCTCTTGTTTGGGACGCCAGTCAAGCATAGTTGATCCGGTAAAGCTGGGCAGGCTTCAAGGCAGCCAAGCATGTGGATAGTATCGTGCGAGCGTTTTAATACACAGTTGTAGGATGAGTTCCCGCAGCTGACGAGTCCGTTAATCTGGTCATCTGGCGTTAGATAGTATTGCAGAGCAAACCCCTCATTGCCGGGCTGAGACATCATCCTCACCCATACCCATTCGGGCGCGGTCTTTCTGGCGTTGAAGAAGATGGCCTTGAACAGTCCAGGTTCAGCAGGGATCTGTGTCTTGTAATTTCGATAAGCCCGGCAGAGTAGTTGGTGAACGAATTTGTCGTCCTGCAGACACTCTGTCGAGCAATAGTAGCTGCATTTACATGTCGTACACATGCATGTAGCTTTACGGTGGCACATGCAGCAGAGGCGAGTAGATGGTCTCGAGACTTGATTCATGATGACGTCGTCGGTGTGATATCGATAAAGCCTACGATTAAGATAAGAATGAAGAATGAAGTGCTGGAAATACTAGGACAAAGTTATTAATCTCCTCTGGGAACAGAGGGGAAAGTGCGCGAACATGCGCCTAGCACCCACCAAGTGCTTTGACAATGGAAACCTTCCCATGGAAATAGCTCCGTTACAGCGAGACGTTGCAAACAATCTGCTGATGTGAAAGTGTTGAAGCCGCAGGCAGTGCACATAGCCCTGTGTATATGATCATAGCAAAGATGTCTATCATAGCCGGTAGAGATTAGTCATTTTTCTCTTCACTTTCCCGGGTTGGGGTTGTTGTTCGTTAACGCCCCAGAATTTGAGGAAGGTGATCGGTTTCCAGGTCCACTGCGCTTCGTCGTTCAGAGCATTGTCCAGGATCCACGTGATGACGGCGGTGAATGCGACAACCCCGATGGCGCTGACCCAATAGACCCAGAATTCACTTCGGTTCTGAGACCGAGCATGAAAAGTTAGTAATCGTTCACTGACAATATGTTCATGGTGATCTTACCGGTGCGTAATTGTCTTGCATACTGAACAAGCTGCTCGTATATGCCAAGGGAATGAACAACAGGGCGAGAAGATTGAGTCGTTTCACGCGCTTGGCCTCCTCCAAGTTCTGACGATTACCCGCGATCGATGCCAGTCCAGTCATGGCTTGGATCAGATTATCAGCCCTTTCTTTAAGGATCTTGAGACGGAAGTAGACGTATTGGAAGTCTTTCTCGCAGTCTTTCCACGTGTGCGCATGCAACCTGACGGACTTGTTGATCTGCCCATCTAGCGAATAGTCGAGACTGAGTAATGCATCTTCAAGATCGTCGCGATAGTTGCCGCACCGACGTGAAATAGTCTGCAAGCTCTTCCATTGACCCTGCTCTTCAACCCATGCGGTAGTAAGACGAAGCTCCAATGAAGGCAGCATTGCTTTGATGTAATCGACAAGCTGGAGGTAGTGCGCAGCGACTATCTTCTTGAGGAAGATTGCTGATGTACTGGGCGTAGCCCATTCGTCTTCGGAGAACAGATCGGAGTGTTGCTGGTAGTAGTGGAGGAGATCGCGCAGCATTGACGCATGCGGATGTCGTGTTTTGCTTTGTATTTGATGATGAGGGACGGGCGGAATGAAGTCAACATAGCCTTCCTGAAAGGGCGTGTTTTGAAGTTCGTCGCGTACATTGGCGATTGGACGAAGTGTGTTGTCGTCGGGATCGACTTCTTTGGGCGGAGGGCTTAGATGAAGCAGCTGGGGATCGCACAATATGACCACTATGTGAATTAGCTAATGTCATTCAGACCTTCCCTTACTACTTTGGTCTCCGGGACTGGTATCGGGCTTCTAAGGCGACAATATGCTTTCAGAGAATGGTCCCAGGATCGAGAGTGTGAAATTGACGTACCATCCCAGCCGCCATTCTCGGTCTGGCGAGACCACCAGCCGACTTTGCGACGTAGTATTCCGATCGTACTGTTCTCCTTCTGACGGGATGCTGTCATGCCCACATGCCGTCGCGTTCGCTCGCAGAAGAAGTAGCGGTTCTCGAGCGCCTTGTTGAACTGTCGCAACTCGCAATACTGGAGCTGGAAAGCTTGCCGTGGGTCAAGCAAGCTAGGTTGGGGCAGCGCATCGCTCACCGGTGTAAAGTCGTTACTCCAGACACATGTCCTCTCTTGCCGCTGGAAGAATGAAGGATCCATGAAAAAGTGACCGCCGACGGCTGCGACAAAATCAGGTGCCAGACCCTCCATGATATAGATGCGCCGACGGTTGTGGTTGTGCCCCGCGGATTCAAAGTGCCTAACAAGCTCTTTCTCGCCTCTAAATTCAGTCGTTGTGAAACCAGATGCCCCAGTAGGAGGAGCGTCTAAAAGCGCGACGAGCGCGTTGCCATATTTCAGTGGCTCATCCTTGTTGTTTGGATCGGCCTTCTTCAGGCCAGGATTGGACCCGCTCAAGGCCTCGATATAGTCGCGATATTTGCCTGCTCGAGATTAACGACACCTGCAAATGGCACTTGGACAAAACATCATCTACCATTAGCACAGAGCCACGATCCAATCGGTGGTTCTTCGCTTTTCAGCATGTTTGGGCTTGGGGTGACCGTCCTCGAAGTTGCAGCAACGGATGTTTTGGTAGCTTTTGGAGCCCCGGCGATAGTCGCCATCTCGACTGCGTTGACGCCGTTATTGGCCATTGATGCAAATGTGCGTAGTGTGCCCAATGCCAGAGCCCGGACAAGGTATTAGCTCTTGAGAAGCTGACGGAAAACGTGTTGATGCTAGGGGTTCGGAACGCGTCGTCGTGAATAAGACGGGATGAAGGAAGCGAGCCTTCGATTTTCCGAAGGGGCCGCGGCTCTGCATCGAGGCGGAGCTTTGTCTGCATCAATTGGGGGCCAGAATTGCGCCACGTCATCCGTGCATTCACAAAGTTCCGCTTGTGGACGCATGCTCAGGTTTTGTGTCTGTATCGCAGGCACATTGAGGCTGTGAAACGCGGCCGGTGAGTATTGGGAGGCGGGGAAAACCTGAGGCAGCCTGGGTAGTTCGCGTCGCTCGCCGCTGCGCATCTTCAGGAGTCATCGAAGTCTCTTCTTGATACGCATTGCTAAAGTCATGACAATATTCGTGCAGCGACGCTGTGGCTTGTCGCAGTTAATTACGCAGTCGAGGCAGCACCTAGGACTAGACTAAGGTGGAATTGGAGAGGCTGGGGCAGGTCACGTGAGAGATTAGCGCGTCAATCTTGCGCGCTGTTCCCCGAACGCGTTCACTGCGAGTTGCCACGGCGAGAAGTCTACACATTTTGTCACATTATCATCCCCACTCCATCACCGCAGCTTGAGAGCACCGTAGGCATAGACCTACGTATGCATCGATGATTTGCACAGTCACGAGTCGGAGCGCAGGCTTCACCTTATCTTACCCCGCATGCATGCATGTGGCACGACCTGGAGCATGATGTCGACTCCGGCACGTTTGAGGCGACCGCCGTGATCCCACATGTCTCCCACTACTCTCTTGCCGCTTATACTTGGAGAGTCTTTCCGCCTTGCATCACGCAAAAAAATCGTAGTCGTGCCTGACCATCTGGGCACAGTACGACGAGTGCGCAAACATGAGGCTCCTCAACACGTATACCCTGACGCTCACGACGTTCATTGGTGAAATACCTGAGTACGTTATCCTCTCACACCGGTGGGAAGACGAGGAAATTCTCTTCGAGGATGTGATGAAGGTCCCTATCAGCGACACCAGCAACCCAGCCCGAGCCAAACGTGGGTTTCCTAAACTGCAGGGGACCTGCGCACTCGCGCTTAGGGACGGATTCGATTGGATTTGGATAGACAATTGCTGCATCGACAAATCCAGCTCTGCGGAGCTTCAAGAGGCGATCAACTCAATGTTTCGGTGGTATCAAGAGGCTCAGTTTTGTTACGCTTATCTGAGTGACGTTTCCAACGGACAGGCTGGATTGGATGTAGCATTCAAAGAGAGCTTGTGGTTTACCCGCGGTTGGACCTTACAGGAACTACTGGCACCGTGTAGCGTCGAATTCTACGCAGCCGACTGGACGTTCATCGGCTCCAAGGCATCGCGAGCCGAAGAAATCGCAACTATCACTGGGATCGCCCTTGCTGCTCTTCAGAATGTCTGGGCAGTTCAGAAAGACAGATATCTCGCTGCAGAGAAAATGTCATGGGCTGCGCATCGACGGGTCACTAAGTCCGAAGATATGGCTTATTGTCTGCTCGGTCTCTTCGATGCGAACATGCCATTACTTTACGGCGAAGGGGGACGTCGGGCATTTCGCAGGTTACAGCAAGTAGTCTTTGAGAGCGAACCTGACTATACGCTGTTCCTCTTCGCTACTCACGATAAAACTGATGCGGAAGGCCCTGGTGTGCCAGAGCATGCACCATTGCTCGCGTACTCAGCCAGGCAGTTCTGTAGGAGAACTCCATGTAAGGAGTGTGCGAAACAGCCAACGTGCCTTCCTGATTACATCGAATATTCTCGGATGGGCAGCGTCGTTGACGCACAGTGGAACGCACTCAACGACCCCTCCCTGAAGTTGGTCAAAAGCGGTGTGCAGTTGAAGGTGCCTCAGACTGGATACAAACCGGGCCTCCAGTATCTTCCATTGACCACCAACCGCTATTCAAGGAAGCCAAGTGGAAAAAAAGACGGATTGGTCGCACTTTTGCCTTTGACCCTGACAGGATACAAATTCCACCTCTTTGGGATCGTTCTCGAGCTGCTTCCGACATCCAATTACGCTCGCCTCAACACAGCCCCTATTATGGTAGATATGAGGAGCCTCAATAGTGATGCCTTTGATCCCAAAGCTCTCATAGTATCCGACGTTTTCCTCTCTCCAGTCGAGCACATGGGTCCCGACCGGGCGCTTGCCTGTTTCGAGTTCCACAGTTCTTCATTCATGGTATCATCTTGGGATAGCAATTACGTTCATGTCCCGAACGAGTGGAAACCTGAAAGCATCTTCACAATGGCCAGCACCGCGTCCCACGGCTTTGGTTTGATGATAAGGACGTCCAGTAGCTCTTCAAGAGTCTCTCCCGTAATTATACTGGGCGATTCCATAAAGAATATTCGACTGCTAGGCGTGGAAGTGCAAGGCGATGATGGCTCAACGTCGCGATTGGAATCAGAAGGGAGCAGCCTTGCAGATCGCATAATCATCCCCCTGGAATCAGCACAGGCTTGTATCAAGGTTACTCTTCGCCGTTTATGCACCACATTAACTGGCCACATCCTTGACCAAGTCGATGTGCGCTTGCGAATAGATGTGGAATACGTTGCAGACGATATGCACGGTATCGAACCCGGAAAGATGAACAAGGAGAGGATTGACGCCCAGACTGAAGATATCGATGCGGATGAGTTCTCTGTGAATACCACGGCCGCCGACTTAGTCTAGCACACTATACTCTCCTTTGTCGAGATAAATCGCAGAAGTCCTGTCCCAGCAGCCTTGGACCTTTTATCAGGGCGGGTTTTGTGTCGGCAACCTTGAGTTCAGACCTTGGGTGGCAGCGACTGTGATTGATCTTACTCGGGTAACAGAAGATGGCGATGCGCCGACAGCGTTCGCAGTTGCTACTTTGATCCTGACTCTGGGAACGTGTGAACCAAGAGATCCGTTGATCTCGATTCTCACTGACTGTTTAGTAGCTTAGCTGCTACTATTAGCGATCATGAGTAAGATCTGAGGCTTCCATAATCACAATCGCTCGCACGGGCGACCAGAGCGCGATGAGGCCCTTTCCCGCGGATTCACGATATAGTCCCTTTCCAATGGACCGAACACTTGTCTAGCTTCTGTGCTCATCTGTCGTCTTGGACGTCGCGATATATGACCTTCACAGATATGTAGTAGGAATCGCTGCGCCTACCAATACCATGTGCTGCGCGTGTGCGTCGGTCGCGGAAGACGCGTTTGAGGTTCATCGCATAATGCGCACAGCACGGAAGCATTCTCATGCGCGTCCAAAAGACTGTGCCGTTGGAATTTTTCAGCGAACTCTGGCAAATCGCACGCAGTTCATGCAGCAGGAGACCTGTCGCATCGGTGGCCGTGGTGGTCGCAATGGCCAATTGAGCATACGTCATCAGCTCTGCCCCGCTTTTGCCCGTCATTTCCTCCACCACCTGGACTAAGGAAACAGCAGGACACCCAAAGAGCGTACATCGACTTTAGGATACCCACTTCGCATGCTATCATCTTAACGTAGTCTGCAGACCTGTTCAGCTTTTGCCTTGTATGAGGTGTGCCTGGTGGTAGGTTGGCGTTGCTTCTCGCAATCAGGGCGGCTCACTTTGCCCCACCTTCCCATCCGAACCAACTCACAACCACGACAACCCGATACGTTAGAACCAGACGCGACCTACATACTGCGCCATCTCCCGCGTGACTCCAGGCGGGTCGTCGCGCTGGTCTTCTTGTCATCCAGGCTCGGCCCGTTCGCCAGACGCGATCGCTATCAGAATTTACCTCCTGCTGCTCACGTTGCAAGAAGCTTAGTCATGGCCGAAAGCAGCTTGTGTACTCAATGTCAAGATATCTTCACAGCAGGAAGAGTAGCCTGTGCCCCAGATTACAAACAGCATCATGCCGACAGTACAGGGTTCTTTCGAGCAGTCCAAGAAGGCTGTTATATATGCAGTTGGACTTGGAGACAGTGTCGACGGGGACATCCACAAGAGCATCGCGCTTACGACCGTGTTCATCATACTGAGTATGCATTATACCATGTCGCTCCTGAGCTAGAGCGATCCGTAAAAGGAGAGTCCCCCGCTGGCTTGGCGAGCCTCCACGTTCAGATCCACACCACAGAAGACACCAACCCTACTTCAGGGTTGCGTTTCTTCTTGTTTCCGACCACTACGAGTGAGTGTTCCTGGAAGCCATCTAGATCTGTGACTAAGAAGTGTAGGCCACCAACCGATAGTAACACGCGCAAACTTGGTTCCAGTTACGAGATCAGATCAGACTTTCTCTCTAATTCGCGATTGGATCAAGCAGTGCTGCTCAGAGCATGTCGAATGTCGTTTGTCAAAAAGCGATAGAGAGCTACCATCCAGACTCGTGTCAGTCCAAAAGACAGGTACAAACTCCAAATTAGAAGCTAAATTATGCCGCGGAGACGAACTGCCTACAAACACTACATATCCTACTCTATCTCATTGTTAGAGCAGCACTAAGTTTCTTACTACAACTGTTGCGAACTTAAGCTCGTTTCAAATTTCGCTTCCAGTAGACCGGCTGTCTAAGACGTTCCAAGATGCTCTTTTCGCGACCGTCAACCTTAGCTTTCAATACATCTAGATCGACTCTCTTTGCATTATACAGGACGATCTTAAGAACTAGCGACGAGAATCGCTCTTAATGCACAAAGTGTACAAGAACTCGAGCTGCAACATCTCAGCTTCCGGCTTCTCTAACGAGATAAAAGGATTCCTTCCGAGCAAACGTTACACCAATCCAGGTCCGGTCATCGTAAATCTAGAGCGTCAACCTCTAGTATTCGAACAATCAAAGCGTGTAGTTACCCCCAGAATTAAGCATCATCTCATATGTACATAGCCTTAGGCGGAGATAAGACAGAGTCCTATCTTTCTTCGAGCGTAGACGTTGCAGGAACAACTTCTTGTAAGATCCCCTTACGGACAGAAAAGCACAATCAAGATCTAACGATAAGGCGGCCCGTACTATCTATTTCAACGATAATCAAGTATACTAGGAATGCAAAGAAACTATCGCAAGTGAAGTCTAGCCTTGCGGCTAGATAAACACGCATATCGAAGAGCCATAGCGAGGAGCTCTGCATGATAGCACTTGGCACTTCAAGCTCGAACGTATGTCGAAAGACAGTGTTAGTATTGATTCTGCTTATGCACTACCTATATCTGCTCTAATATACTAAGAGGCGCTAGAATCTCCTTTACAACTGCTGGTTTGATGTTCTCGAGGAGTACTCGCGTCGTCACCTCACATTTGTCGCAGATCGGCTCCCTGCCTTAGCCGGTATCACCAACGAGTTCGCACACTATCTCGAAGATCAAAGTATACATGGGTTGTGGAGAAATGACCTCCATCGTGGACTCCTTTTCATGCAAATCGGATGGCCATTTGCTGAACATGATTCTGACGTTAGACCATTATGGGACCAGTCCCCAAGTTGGTCATGGGTAGCTGTCGGCTCACCCGTAACATGGATCCGTGAGATACATAACGCTGATATGAAACGTGTCTGTGACGTCGAGCTCCTTAACTATCCTGCGACCTCGACGCTGCAGCTTCGCGGTACTCTCTTGACATTTCCCAGCAGCTATTCGGAGATAGCAATCCACTTCCCTCACCGTCTCTCTGGATATTATTATGGCCCGGTCATCGCTGGATTCTACTTCGAAGTATGGCTAGACCACTGGGTTGACTTCACGATCGACCTAGTCTCTATCTCATGGACTTCAGAATCTAGCCGGGCAGTGGCGTTCGCAGAGGGCATTGTTATGATGCCGGTACTGTGGTACATAGCACCCCCTCACCTAAATGGTTCTCCTCGGAAGGCAACTGTAGCATGCCTAGTCTTACAGCCGCAGACTGGATCCCAGCGTGGTGTGTACAGGCGCTTAGGTGTTGCGCATGCTTCGAAAAGAGGACGCGACGAGGCAGACATTGAGGTGATCAAATCGCAGGTTGATGCCCTTCGGACGCCACTTCAGGCTCATCTTTTCCAGAAGGAAGATCGCGATAGCAAGTACACGATCGCTATAATATAGACAAAGGGCTAGTCTACTTATATCGAACAAATCCCTGCCACGTGCACAAGCGTCGCCAACGCACGAGTTACTTTGCTAGAAGGGGCGCAAGATAAAACCGAAGCGACGTACGCTGCATCTAAAATGATGTTGCAGCATGTCAAAGCGACACGCACACTCCAACGGTCTGTTCATGCCGCAGAACCAACCCTATTACCATGGACCCTCATCAGATGATCAACCATCTTGTCCTTGCGCGTGAACCCTCGCCCTCCTTCCATCTTGCTCCTATGGCATCCCTCGATCGGGCACCAGAAGCGTGCGTTGTGCGCGTCATGCACGGAGGCGTGGTGTCTGCGCAATTCGGGACCGCGACCGAAGGTTGTGCCGTTGCAGGGTGGGATATTGCAGACGTGTTTACGAGACCTTCGCAATCCATTTGCGGGTCGTGCGTCGTTCGTGTTGTGCTGGTTACTGGCGGTCGCGGCAGTGGGCGGGAGGTACGGCGCATAAGTATCGATGACCAGGTAGCGAGGCTGGCTGAGATCAATTTGCTGGTATCCGGGAAAGTCGTTGGTGTTAGACTCCCAGGCTCTAGCGGAGTAGAGCGGATCTGGCCTAGTCTTCAGTCAGCCTCCTTCCAACCTTATTTGTAGCGCAACGGGCTAGGGCATGTATTGGTAGAGCCGCAACGTCTTCGCGGGATGCACGAGCTACATCACAGAGACGTGGGTCGCTGCGACAACGAAGCGCAATGCAGACGAAGCAGCCTGTGCAAGCGACATGTTCCAGAGGCGGAGGTGCCTAAGGAGAGCGAGGTGGGGGCCCCCATACTTGGGGAGGAGACTTGGAAGTCTTACTTCAGTCATGCTACTAGCATCCCTCATCCGTGCAGTTCGATAGAACTGCCCCCTTGTCCATACAGTTTCCAAGACTGTCCCTGTATGCATACAGTCTCTCATGAGATTGTCCCTTCTCTGAGCAGAGTTTGGGCGGACGTTCGCTTTCGTTGCGGTCGTGGAGGTCCGTTCGCGATTACCGAGGCTCGCGCGGGGAGCTCAATTCTATCCGTGTTAATCACATATCGATATCGCGCCAATGCCGAGTTACCTGAGAGGACCATCAGTGAACGAGAAGAGCTTGGATGTCGGAGAGTAGCATACCTTAATAGATCTTCGATCGTTCAGCGATACTTGAAGCCCAACTTCAATCAATAGACTTACCTTCCAACGCCTTCACCCGCGATGAAGGAGTTCACTTCGTTGGGACTCAACGAACAATCGTAGCCATGAGCAGCGCGCGGAAAGGCCACGTTCTGTTGAATCAGTGCTCCCATTCCGAAGGGGCTGTATGGGCGACCAAGAGGCTGAGTAGACCCGAAAGCTGCATCTATGAAGCCTCAGTCGCGGCCACACTACGCGTATATGGGGAATAAGCACCGATAGTCTCATTTTCGAACACTTCGTTGTCGTAATGCGCGGTACTAGCCCAGCGCGGATCCTCGCTGTTGAGAAACTTGAATAGCTCATCCATGGTGATGGTGGTCAGAGTCTGGAGGGGAAAATGGCTTTGTTGGAGAGGTAATTCGAGGTGGAAGGAAGCAGGAAGCAGGAATACATTGAGGGGCGAGTACTTATAGGCCATTTTACGGTCATCTGCGGATTGTAGGGCATAATGGGGCACTTTTCGGTTGCGCCCTATCATGCACGCAGACTGTGGTGGAACACCATGGAACACCACCCACGCGGCTGGCTACGAGCAGCGGTCAACAAACCCAATCAACGTCTTACAGACCATCAAGCCCCCCATACCCCAGACCCCACACATGCGCACCATAGTACCTGCCGTAATTCCTCATCCACACATGACGATAATTCTTCATAGCCTCGCCTAAGCGCTCGAGAAGCGCATCAGCCTTTTCCTGCTCTTCTGCCGATGCCCGCGGGAAGAACTTGGCTCGCAGCACGTGGAACCAGAAGGTCGTCTCGACGGTGGCCATCAAACCGAGACCGGCGTAGACAGTGTAGCGGACTGCTGGTTTCGAATCGCGGACGAGCTTGAAGAGGTTCAAAGACGGAAGCGATGGGTTCTCGGCTTGGTGATTTGGTCTTGCGGTTGACGGGATGTGGTCTTTGGGGGAAGTTGCGGAGATGTGAAGGCGGCGGGTGTTGAGGAGTGTAACTGGCGGCGTATCATGCAGATGAGAAGAGTACTGTATCGAAGAAGCGATGCGCATCGTCGTAGTCTTTGGAATCATTCGTTGAGCCATTGGATCCTGGGGAACAAGCTGGAGTCGTTCACGTGACGCGGGGTTGATAAGATGGAAGAGTTGACTCGATATGAATATCCGCGACCTACCTGAGACTCACGAGTATGCAACCTATATACACACCTTTCTCGCCTACTCATCTTCGCCTACGCACACCTGAGCTTGTCCAAGTCAGCGCGAAGTCATCGCGAGGCAGCCGCCAAGACAGTCGTGTTTGTTTTGGGCTTAAGATTGCGAGATATTGGCGTTCGCATGTGCAATCTTAGAATTTGCGCAGGGGTATCGAAAACGGTGCGTCCGAGCGCCGTTGACGTCGACGGCCAGGTGAGGGAAATTCGTTCACGATGCCTGGGGAAAGGTTGAGGGATGCGCACAAAGTGTAATATCACATGCGCGTGCGGATCCGGATGAGGTGTATGTGTGGGAGAAACAGGGAATCGTGGAGTCGAAAAGGCGGTGGCAGGCTTGTGGGCGGGGAGTGTGAGCTGGCAGGGACAGGTGGTTGAGTGGAGCGTGGTCCGCCTGCCGGCATAGTCAGGAACAACAAATCAGCCCTCGACGCGCCCGACTAGTGACCACCACAACGCTTCACTCCCTCGACGCTTGCTTTTCCTGCCACCGCTCTCTCCCTCCTATGTAGCTCCTACCCGCTCAGCATTAATTCGAGCATGAGCGACACCATCCACCACTCTGCGACGCATTTTTAACTCACAACGCTGCTCCCGCCGGCTATACACGCCTTGTTTACGCGCACGGAGGGGTCGTACACATGGACTCGGCCGGCCTTGGTGCCATGCCAGGGCCTCGCTGCTGTTGTGGGAGCCATGACTGCGCTTTCCTCGCCCACAACGGAAGACTCTTAGAAGGATTGGAGAGGGACGTCTCCAAGGCTGCACAGCTGGGCCAGGTACGTCGCTCACTCCCGCATGTCGGCTCTTACTACCGCGCATGCCGCTAACCTTTGCCCTGCAGGCCCTGCTCGTCCGCCATGAGGCCTACGTCGCCGACTCGGAGCGCGAGCGCAAGGAGATGATCAACACCATCGAAGGCCTCGAAAAGGACAAGATCGAGCTCGAAGCCAAGAATGCGCAGACCATCAAGGCGAACCGCGACCTCCTCGACCAGCTCGAGCAGCTCAACAACGCCGTCGCCGAGTCGGACGCCCACATCCGCGCGCTGGAGGACACCCTGCGCTCCACTGAAGACGAGATCGACCGCCTCAGCTCTCTGGCCGCACGCACACAGCTGCTCGAGCGCCAGCTGATTGACCTCGAAAGAGAGCAGTCGCAGATCCAGAGCAGCCTGGACGCCAAGATCGTCGACGAGCGCACAGCCATACAGCGGTGGAAGGTGGCCGAACGGACTATAGGAGATCTCCAGGACCAGATCGACCGCATCGAGAAGGAGTCCCGCGCCGAGCGTCAGCGCCACATGGAGGTCGTGGCCCGCATGGAGCGGAGGATGGTCGTCGAGGGCGAACTCCACACCGCTGCGGGCAGGCTCAAGGCCAAAGCTGGGACGGACAAGGGCGGGCCCAACGTCGTCTCCCACTTTGTTAAGGACATTCTACTCGATAACGCGAACCTGCAACACGGCATACTGGAACTGCGCGAGCTACTGGGCAACTCCAACGAGGAAGTCGAACGCCTGCGAGATCAACTCAAGGTTCACCAGCCTGTCTCGACATCACCCCGGCCCGATGAAGACGTCACGAGTCCGTCGCTGCAGAAGGAACTGGAGATGGAACAGGAAGCTTCGCTACAGCAGGAACTGCACATACACCACCACTACCACGGTCCAAAGGTCACCAGAAACGTGCCCAAGCCACCCGCCCAGCGACGGCCTAAGAAGAAGCGCTTCTCACTTACCCCGACGCATTTCGACCCGCCTGCGACACTCGATCGCTCGTCTACGGCCACGATACTGGAACACACTGCGGTTACTGTGCCTAACTCGCACAGATGGTCTCAGGCGTCCACTCTCACGCCGGGCTCTTTCGCAGGGTCACCCGTCTCGGACTCACACCGTGGGTCCATGTACGACCGTGTCTTCAGCGAGGCTTATGACTCTTCCCGGCCTACCAGTCCTCCTGACTCCATCGACTTCCAGTCTCCCATGTTCGGGCCCGTCAAATCGAACGACTACAGCTCCGATCCGGATGCGTTGCCGCCGATGCTGCGAAGGTCGTCTGGCACCCTTGAGGTCGCTAAGGGCGGAAACAAGCATCTGCGACGCAAGTCTCGCGGCCTCATGCCACCAAGCCTCTCGACAATGCGCAGCTCAAGCACGCCCATCGCCCTCACTGCTAAGAGCAGTCCTGCGACGGCCGTCATATCGGCTGTCAGCCCCGCCAACTCCTTCTCGGATGCCAGCTTTACGCTCTCGCCCTACCTCCAGCCGGAGCCTCAGGCTGCTATCCCGGAGGAAAGCGAGGATTCCTCGCTATCGACAGCCGAGCCATCGCTGATGACGTCCAACGGCGAATTCGAGCCCGACGACCTCGTCTCGCCCATGACCGCCATGCGACCCGGATTACGCCGCCACGCCTCTCACGAATCCCTCATCTCGGTTTCCGGCATGGACATCCACACACTGCAATCACGTCCTTCGCAACTTCTATACTCTAATGCGGCGCGCTTCGCAACGCCTGGCAGTTCTGGCTCTGTCGGCCCCGAACTCACACCATGGACCGCTACCGCACACGGCACGCTCTCGAACAAGACATCGCAGAGCAGCATGGCCAACCGCGACTTCCTCTACTCCAGCATCGCGAACCAGAAGCGTGGACCCCGGAAGAGCGACGGCCCCCAGCCCTCCAGCGGCCCCGGTCTTACAAAGAAGGTCGGAGGTTGGGTGTTCGGCAAATGGGGCTCATCGCCAGCTCCCGTTACTTCGCCGACGGCGACCCGCGCGCCTTCGATCCTTAGCCAGGAAACGCAGTCCACGCAGGACACGCAGTCGAGCGAAGGCACCACGACCACGAACGCGGACGGCTCGAAGAAGAAGGACAAGCCCAAGCTGAGGCCGAGCGGCGTGAACCAGAATGGACCGATATGGGGCTTCTTTGACGAAGTCCCCGATGCGCCGGCCAAGGTCGTGGTGCAAGACTACGATGCGGATGCGCTTGGTGAGGCCTTGGCTGAGGCTTCATAGAAAGCGCGTGTGTATAAGAAGGCTCTTTACATATTGAAACATCTCTTACTATCTATCTCCTTGGTCTTTTTGGATTCCGATAGATTGCATCACTGGCGTTTGGGTTTCTTTCTCCTTGGACCTTTTTGGATGTCGTTACGTTTGACGAAGCGCATGAGAGCAAAGGAAGATGTTTCCTTTCTTGGTTTTTGGATACTGGTTTGGATACTGGATAGACGATGATACGAGCTGAAGATTGATACCCAATTATATTACCATGGCGACGTGGTATGCTTGCTGCTGGAGATGAGTTCTTCCTTCCGATCGTGTTCTTTTCGGATGTGCTGGATGGGCAGACTCGTCATCTCGGCGGTGAGTGAGACACAGTCATCACAATGCCATCCTTCCGGATTTCTTATCGGTAGTGACATCGGCATCGGTTACGGTAGTTTTCCTCTTATCGACTCGCAATGCGCTCCTTCCTTGCCGTTCATTGTGCTCCTTCCTCGCCGACCATTGTGTTCCTTCCTCACTAGTAAGCAAGGGCGGCCTTCTTTGGTCGTTAAGTAAGGGCGAGATCGGCGTCAACGCAACTTCCGTACTTACGCGCATCCTTCACATCCTTCGCTTCAACAGCGCTCAGGTAAATCGGTATCACAACCACTCGCGTCAAGCAATCGCGATCTGCTTCTCAATGCAGCCATCCCCAAAGCTGAGGCCGATGCATACCCGCCCATGCCACCCGCCCACGCCGCTGGCTGCTCCCGCGGCACTTTGCTTCCGCAAGATCAATTTCAGGAGATCGTACTCACCGTGTCGCATCGGAAGGGCAGTGAGATGCCGCGGCGGTCAGTGGCTCTCATGGGAGGATGGGGCAGGCGGAGAAGAGGCGGAGGGGAGGTGGTGGAGGTCTCGCACGGTGAGATGATGCGGCGGTCAGTGAGTTTCGCCCAAGCTGTTCTTACTTCGCATGGAGGCGTGGTCATCCCCAAAGCTGAGGTCGGTACCTACCCGCCCGCGCCGCTGGCTATCCGCTCAACTCGTGTCAACCGTTCACGCTTCGCTTCTCAATTCAGTCATCCCTTATGTTGGAATCGGTGCCTACCCGCCCGCGCTGCTGGCTGCTCCCGCGGAATCTTGCTTCCGCAAGATCGATTTCAGGGGACTGTACTCACCGCATCGTATCGGGGAGCGAAGTGAGATGATGCCGCATAGTATCCGCCCAACTCGCGTCGACCAACCGCGCTGCGCTTCCACAAGAGGGAAGATGCTGATCGTATCGCATCGGGGGGCGCATCGGGGAGCGAAGTGAGATGATGCGGCGGTCAGTGTGTTTCACTCAGCTGTTCCTACTTCGCATGGAGGCGCGGTCTGCTACAGCGGCCAAGGGACTCCATTGTAGGATGCGATCCTTCGCGCATCCAAGGCATCTGGCACCGTCTCCCGGCCCCTCAAAGCGAGCACATGTTTGACCGCCTCGGAAGGTGGAGGGAAGGTGGTGAATGTCTCGCACACTAAGCTATCCTGGGGATCAATGGGACCCAGCTTTGAGGACGGTCAATCCTGAAGGATGAATGGAGTCGATGCCGGAGCAGATCGGGCATGGTCATATACGTGAGCTGAACAGAGATACATTCGGCAACTCTGCAGTCTAAGCACACTTCGTGGACCCCGACTGCAAACAGAAATGATGGCCTTTCCGATCGCCAACTTGAAAACATCAAGCGACGACATATGCACGATCTGTTTCTACGATACTGGAGCCAGGATGCGATGCTTCCCGGCGAAGATCAATGGATACTTTCCTACCCAGGTCGATAGCGTCCGTGGCAACGAGATCTTAGGGCATCCCCGGTACAGAAGAGCAGTAAGAAGAGGACATGAAACGGCTAGGAGACTTGAGCAAATCATCGCCTCTGTGGGCAACAAGAAAACCAAGATTACCGTCTCGCCTAATGGTATTGTTGGAGGTTATCCTCAGGGCTACCACGAATGGGCCACAAAAAGAATCGCCTTCTTCGTCGAGACCAGGTTCGACTTTACGACTTCTCTGACACCGGCGACCATCGTGTCATCTACTCAATGGTTGCACTTTGCTGGACCATCATCGAACGCCGCGCTCCAAGGTTTTTTGACTTCGGGCTTGCGTAGTGTCACTATTCTATCGGGAATCTGTTTGTTCTCGGGCAAGGCCATGACTACGGCTACCAAAGACGTGCCGATTATCGACCTTCAGGATGGGCAATGCAACAGAGCTACGCTCTACGAGTTGGAGTACATCGCCCGTAGTGCTCCGGTTATCGCAGATCTTGCCATCGCCTCCCGACCGGCGACGGAGCGGACTACTCATATCAATGGTGACAAAGCCTACCAGCCGCTCCAGATTTGCCTGGACATTCCCAGTTTCCATTACTACCAGACCATTGACGATCTACTGCGGTCTGGTCGTTGTGGCTTCGCCGAAGCTATGAATTGGCTCCATACTATAGAGACGCACCATCAGCAGATCTCGCACATTTTCCGTGGTTATCTCCACGTCGAGCTGATGCGCCGAGACCCGTCCATCAAATCATACGCCATCAGCGTCACCCCGGGGGGTGAGCGAATCCTCTCGACCATCCGCAAGTCGCTCATGAAACGTTCGCTTCCATCAGTGCAACAAGCCATCGACGATCTCAAGGTTCACGAACCGGGCTGGACAAAGTTCATGCAATTTGTGCCCGACACGGAAAAGCCTAAGGATTTCAGATCACTTGGCCAAATGTTCTATGTATACCAGGTGGTACGGCACGCCTTGGGTGAAGAGTCAACACAACCGAATTTGTTGATCAGTGTCGAGGACAGCGCCGAACGCGGCGTGTATTCACGCGCTCAAAAGCTTCTCAAGAGAATCCGAGACTCTACATGTTCGGCCTCGCCTATACTACTAGAGACATACCTCTGTCCGCGTGTCTTTGTCGACAACAACGCTCACGGATCGGAGCTGTATGCTCACGACCCGTATCCGGCGTCAGTCTACGAGAGGTACAACTTAGAGAGCGAGAAACCACTTCTCGGCAGTTCAAGAACGCGCCTCAAGCTAGACCGTGCTGGTAGTCAAAGCGATGTCGTCCCGGAGGCTGATCCGACGCTATTGGAGCTGGACACTTTGGAAGTAATTGAGAGATTGTATGGCGAGAGATCGGCTACGCTGCTGCGGGAACTGGGTAAAGAGTTAGGCCTGTTTGATGTGCCGATGCAGCCTTAGATAGCTTCGAGAACAGCGAGTTTGATGTGTTTAGTGTTGCTGCGAGAGGGAGGGAAACACAAGTTGCACACCTACCTACCTTACTGCTTCATTCTGTTGTTGTGTTGCAAGTTACTCGGCATCTGGGATTGCTTTGAACGGTGGTGATTGATTGGAGCTCGAGCTGATATGCAGCGCCCCATGTGGTCTTTGCATATACTGCATCGACTCTCGACGGAATAAGCGGAGCATTGCGCCCTTGCTTGTTGTGCACAGGCATTGGGCGGAGCAAAATATACGCGAGAAACCTGATCTCGCAAGGACCATGCTCGGCCCTGACTACGTCGCAGTGATAACCAAGAGCATGTGGTGCTCAACATGAGCCACCTACGTCATTGCTACTTCATTGCTTACGCGCATCCTTCACTCCAACACTGCTCAGGTAAATGGCTATCGCGTGAACCAATCGCGCACTGCGTCTCGTTATTTCCGCATGCGGGGAAAGTGCCAGGTACTTGTGCTTTCACTGGCTTTCGCTGAAGAGCAACCACTTTCCACTCGAACCTCTCTCTTCACCGCTGGAACGTTGACTACAATGAAGCTCATCCCCAGCAAGGCACCAGGCTATGCGCTCGCATCAACCTTTGTCGCGCTCGGCGGCATACTCAATGGGTAAGTTATGAAGGGGCTCCATCTCACGTCACATACCTCGCGCATCTTGCCCAGCGTAGACGCGAACCAACTCACTAACATGCCACCAGATTCGACACAGGCTCTGTCGGCGCCGTCACCGAAATGCCTTCCTTCACCCACACATTCGGCCACCTGTCACCCACTATGCGCGGCTTCACCGTCTCTCTAATCATGCTCTGCGGCGCCATCCCAGCAACAGTCGCCGGACACCTCGCCGACCGCTTCGGTCGCCTCCGCATCATCATCGTTGGCGCTATTCTTTGCACAATCGGCTGCGTGCTCGAATGCGCTGCCTCCCATCTTAGTCTCTTCCTCGTCGGCCGCGCGTTGATGGGGATTGGTCAAGGTTTCGCGCTCACCAACATCGGAGTCTACATCTGCGAGATCGCGCCGAGTCGGAGTCGTGGTAAGTTTGTATCGCTTCCGCAATTCGGCGCTGCGCTGGGGGTTTGCGTGGGCTATTTCTCGTGTTATGGGAGTATACACATTGCTGGGAATATGTCGTGGCGTCTTCCTTACGTACTGCAAGCCGCACTGTCCATGGTATGGGCTGCCGGCTCATTCTTCTTGCCCGAAAGTCCGCGCTGGCTCATATTGCACGGGCAAAGGAGTCGAGCGATGCAAGAGCTCAAGAAGCTAGACTTTGAAGCAGCGGAGGCGGAGAAAGACGTCCTGCGACCCACGGAGAACGCCAGTCCGGAAGAGCAAGTCAGTATACTGCAGGGCCTGCGCTTGATCTTCAAGCGCGAATACAGATCGCAGACATGGCTTGCGGTGTTCATCCTGTCGTTCGTTCAGTTGAGCGGCATTGATGGCGTGCTCTACGTATGTCGCACCCTCTAAGGACATGCACTCACCTCCGCATGCTGACCAAAGCTCCCAGTACGCCCCGACTATCTTCGCCCAAGCTGGCATCCCCTCCCAAACAGCCTCGTTCCTCGCCTCCGGCGTCTCCGCCATCCTCATGCTCGCCTTCAGCATTCCCGCCACCCTCTTCGCAGACAGATGGGGTCGTCGCACGTCCGCCATCTGCGGCGGCGTCATCCTCTCCGTCACTATGCTCCTCATCGGCTCGCTGTACGCCGCGAACGTCGTGCATCCTCAAGGCGCAGCGCGCTGGGTTGTCATCGTCTCGGTCTTCATCTTCGCGATTGGATACGTCTCCACGTGGGCTATCGTAGGCAAGATCTATGCGTCTGAGATCCAGCCCACGCGAACGCGTGCGACGACGAACTCGATGGCCACGGGCGGTAGCTTTGTGAGTCGCGTCCTTGCCTCTTCCTTCACTGCCTTCGCTGGCATCGCTGTTGCGCACTCTTTGCTAACTTGTCCGGCGAACAGGTTGCAAATTGGCTTGTTGCGTCCGCGACTCCGATCTTCCTCGCGAGGTCGGCGTACGGCGCGTACTTCCTCTTCGGCGCAATTGCGCTTTTGACGCTCGTTGTACTCGCGACGTGTATGCGCGAGACGCGTGGCTTGTCGCTTGAGGACATTCAGGTTTCGTTCGCGCAAGCTTCGTCGCGGTCGTTTGGCATTCCTGTGGGTTTAGTACGAAGGCGCGGGTTCGAGAGGTAAGCCTTCTATTAGAGTTAACTCTATTACGTATAGAGTAACATTATATATAATACTAAAATACTTTATTACTTTATTATAGCTCTTAGAGCTATAGCTATTTATTACTCTACTTATAAAGCTATATATACTTAACTTATACTAAGTAAAAGTCTAGATACTAATTACTAGACTAGAAATAGACGTTCTATTAGCTATAGAATATAAATATAGTAATTATTACTATAAGTATAAGATTATATAATAAATACTAGTATTATATATAACTCTAATAATAAAGTACTTTACTACTAACTTTAATAGCTTTATAAAGTTTCTAGAGATAAAATACTATATAATAAAGTTATAATTACTTTACTTATAAAGCTTTTAAGATTATAATAATAGTATAAAAGTATAATATATAGTTAGCTAAATAAAAAATATATATAATTAGCTATAATTACTTATAGTAATTATAGAAGTTAGTATTAAGAATTATATAAAAAATACTAAACTAAAAACTAATACTATAACTCTAGAAGTATAGTACTTTTTTACTTACTATTAGACTCTAGCCTATAAGAGTCTAGACTAACTTAGCTCTAAATATAAATATCTTAGAATTACTATTATAGCTTAGTAGTAATTTATCTTTAGTCTTTTTAGAATAATATATCTAATAATAGTCTAATATTATATATCTAGTATTTAACTAACTTTATTATTTAATATTTAAATTACTTTACTTTATAATACTTTTATATATACTATTTAGATATAATAATCTTTAACTAGATTTCTCTAGTATAATATAATATAGTAGTAAGAAAGCTATATTATTTTTATATATAATAGATAATAACTAAAAGAAATTAGCTTTTCTATTTCTAGAAGTAGTAACACTACTTACTACAAAACTTATAGACTTATTAGAAGCTTTTTTAAATATTACTAATATAGTCTTAATTATTAGAAATAGTAATATACTATTTGTTAAAGTTAGAGAGTAGTTATAATTACTTAATCGTAGATACGTAATTACTTAGCTCTTAGGTATATAGCTAGAGATTTTATTCTAACTTTCTTTTAAGAGAGATTAATTATAATATACTTAATTATTTCTAATTATTAATTATCTCTAGCTCTAATAGTTATAAGCCTAGCTACTTAATTATAGAACTAATTTCTACTATATATTAAAGCTTACTAGAAGATAGATTAGTTAATCTTATTTCTACTCTACTTTCTTTAAATGTTCTATAATTAGAACTCTTTCTACGTAATTACTTACTTACTACCTACCTCTCTATATTACTATATTAATTCTACGCTCTAACTCTATAAATATAAGTAATTATAATATAGCTATTATAGCTATAAGTATACTTTTTAAAAAGTAATCTAACTAGAATACCTAGTTTACGCTTTTTAAGCAATACTATAATAAGAAGAGTATCTAGAAAGAGATTAATTCTAATCTTCTAGATATTAAATATATAGATACTTAGAAACCTAAGTTCTCTAACTTTCTAGTTCTAAAGTCTATAGCTCTAGCTTCTTTTCTTATAGAGCTAACTAAAAATTAAAAGAATAAGTATAATAAAGCTATCTATAAGTATAATACTCTTTTATAAAATTATAATTATAAAACTAAGAATAGTACTACGCTTATAGCCTGCTAGAACTATAAGTCTAAGTAGTAGTTAAGAAAAAGTAAGAAAATTAATAATATTAAGATCTAGATTATACGCACTATTACGCTAGATTATCTATTACTTATAACTATAAGTAATAATAGAAGAATAGTCTAGTCTCTTATAAAGACTCTTAAGACTATACTTACTTCTACTAATTAGACTACGCAATATATAGTTTACGTAAAGTATTACACTTATTTTAAGAAAATCTAAAGAGAAACTACTAAGAAGTAGTTTAATAACTAGTTAATACTCTACTAGAAGGTAAAAATCTTTAAGCTCTTAGAGGTTAAAGAATCTTTTATAATTACTAACTTTTTTACTATAGTTAAGAAGTTTAACTCTAAGTAAGTCTACTAGTAGTAATATAATTAATTATTTACTATAGCCTTTAAAAAGAATATATTAAGCTTTAATAATCTTAGTAAGATATTTAGCGTTATTCTCTAGAAGATATTAATTACTACTAGAAAGAGAAAAGCTAATATAATCTTTAACGCTATTATAGATTAACTCTCTACTTCTACTAAGTTAAGTAAGAAGTAGTTAAGCTTACTATCTAAGCCTTACCTCTATAAACTTAACGTAAAGTATAAGTAGAAGCTTATCTTATATTACTAATTATAGACTATAATTACTAGATCTAAGCTACTAGGTATTCTACTAATAGAACTCTTAGCTTAAGATAAGTAAAAGATCTAAAAGCACTATTATAAAGAGAAGTAAAGTAGTCTATATAAAAAGGTTAAGTAATCTAGTTAGAAGATAAGCGCTCTAGCTTCTAAGTATCTAGGTAATATAGTTTTAATAATTATTTACCTAAAGAAGCTAATTATAAAGTTTAGGCCTTCTATCTTTAGTATAGGCTTTAAGCCTTACGCGCTCTTAGCTAGTATAATTCTTAATAGTAGAGCTATAGTCTACTTAGTTAATAATAAAGCTTTAATTAAGCCTAATTTCTTTATTAAGACTAATAGAGAAATAGTTAAGATAAGTAGCTAGATTCTTCTAGTAATTAGTATTAGTAATTACGTACTTTATCTTATTCTTAGCACCTCTAAAGAACCTAGAAAAGCTAATCTTACACTTACTAGCGTTAAGATTATCTTTAGTTTCTATACTAATATTATTTTAGAGAAGCTTCTTAGAAATAGTAGTATATAGTATATAGGCTATAATTATATAATTAGAATAGGTACGCTAGAAGTGTCTATTATTCTTATAACTCTTAAGTATAGATTTAACTTCTTATTTATTAAATATAACTCTTCTATCTATTCTTCTAATTCTATTATTATAAATACTATTATCTACTTATAAGTTCTATAATTATACACTAGTAACACTAACCTTTAGTATTAAAAATTAGACTACTTAGGTAAGTAAGCTCTTAAAGCTCTTATTAAAGCTACTTAGAATATAGAGATTATAAGTATATAGCGTAGTAAATATAATAATTACACTACTATCTATATATCTTAAAGAATCTCTTATTATTCTTATAAGCTATTACTACGTCTCTTCTTTAGAGTATTATAGAATTTATTTAACTTCTCTATAAGCTATATACTTAATAAATAAGCTTTAATTATTAAAGAAAATTATTTAAGTAAGCTATATAATTATAACTTAAAGAATAAGATACTAGACTCTATAATAGAAGTTATTATAAGCTTTATAGCTATAGTTAAGCGCTACTATTAGTAGAAGATTATAGAAATCTATTAAAATAATAATACTATAATATTACTTTAGAGAGAGTACTTAAGATATAAGAAATAGGCTAAAGAAAAAAAGATTATAATTATAACGCCTCTACTATATATCTATAAGCCTAATAGCTTAGTAGAAAGAGCTAGCTAAGAGCTTATTACTAAGTTAATTAAAATACGCATAAGCGCTAATCTTCTAGCTAGACTCTAGCTAGTAATTATAAACGTAGTAGCTTAACTTTATAAAATAAGTCTATTATAGCTTTATAGCTATTAATCTCTAGATTAGATATTATATAAATAGTTTAGAAAATACTTTTAATATTATTAGCTACCTAAGATTAGGCACTAAGCTACTAATCTTTGCCTAGATTAGAGTAGAATCTATACTTATAGCTATTAAGTGTATCTACTTAATAGTAATTATGTAGCTAGAAAGCACTATTAAAACTTTAAAGTTAAGCCTTATAGCTATATAGAATATCTTATTAGCTATTAAGCTTCTAATATCTATTATATATAGATACTAGTAATTAATTAGATAATTATAACTTATAATATTACTTTTAATAAGTAGAAGTTCTATTAAGGTAAGTATAAAGAGAAGCTAACTAGAGATTAAGTACTTAAGTAGATTAAAATACTTAATAATAGCAAGCTTATTAATTCTATAGAAAAGTTTAATATTCTTCTTATTAATTAAATAGTAAGTATAGTAGAGCTATTAACTACTAAGTAAGATCTTAGAGATAATATAAACTATAATTAAAGTAATAAAGTTAGCCTATCTATTAAATATAATTAAAACTCTATTAATTTAATAGAGATAGAATATAAGGCTAGTGTTCTATTAGAAATTTCTAATAATTAGTAGCTTTCTACTAGACTTACTACTTTAGAATCTACGTCTAAGCGTAAGATTTTAGAGATAGGTAATTAAAGTAATTATAGAGTTTCTAATAGTTAAAGAGTAGTATATACGCCTAAGAAAGCTAATCTATTAGAGTCTAGAGGTAGAGAGCCTTCTATATATAGATTAGAAGATCTAACTCTATCTATTAAGCCTATTATAATAAACTCTAGTTCTATAGAAATAGATAAAAGACTAGCTTAACTAGAGTAAGCGCTAAAGAGACTAAGAGGTAAGCTATCTAAATTAGTAGTCTTCTCTTAATAATTAACGTAGCTATAAAATTAGCTAGTAGCTAAATTCTCTAGAACGCGCTATAGTAGAAGAGTTATAGATAAAAAGTCTAAGCGCTTTCTTTTTATAAATATCTATTAACTATTAAAACGCTCTAAAAGTAAAAGTAAATAGCCTACTTAGTCTAGTAATTAACTAGAAAGTAATAGTGTAGGTAGCGTAAATATAGTAATTGTAGGCTTAGTTAATAAGTAAGCCTAGATTAACTTTTATAAAACTTATCTTTTTAGTCTTTAAGAAGACTAGAATAATTAAGCTAGCTATAAAACTATAAACTCTATTATTATAGTTACTACGCTTAGTAAGTATAAGCTAAAGGCTACTTACTAATACTATAATAATCTTTAAAAGCTACCTAGATTATAGAAATAACTAATCTAG